ATCGATCCTGGGGCTCTCAGGAAATCCGATGCCACATTCGAAGCAAGAAAAATTAAGAGTTCGCTTAGTTCTCATTTTCGAGAGGACACATTGAACTATCTGCCTATGAAAAAAAACTGATAGATTGGTATCTCAGTTTCCGGAGATCCGGACTTGCTTTCAAAAGATTTCCTAGAAAACCGATCTTCTGAATGCTTTCGGAAAACTGTTTTGCTTATAAAAACATAGGCTATACTGTCCTCTTCTCATCGCTGAAAATCGCTGATCTGTAGCTTTTGTCGTCTTTGAGTTAATGATCATACGCTAATTAGTGTGTCTGGTGTACAAAGAGTTAATGACTTTTCATAAACCTTTCGGTCTCTAAATCCAAAAAAAGAAAAAACTGGTAGTTTGCAAAGCTAATTGCTCTTACACTATGAAGTATCCTCTATCCGCTAATGACACTATTAAGTACAGGCGTTTACTGTTTTTTGGGATCATTTTTCGACAAAGAATGGTACAATAAACACCAGAATCACTCATATTGATCACCAGATAAAAACAGCCAAACCAGTATAACAATATTTTGAAGAGTTGTTGTCGCTTTTTTTACAACATGTCAAGTGTTAATGTTTTATAAGGTTTTAGTGTTGTGAAATGCGACATTTCTATTTGCTTTTCTTCATTTCTTTTGCTTTGCTTTTCGTGCATGATTTCAATCGATGACAGCAGGGCTAGCGTGTCACGTCAGATAAACAGAAAGTATTATGACATCGACTCGTTTCTTCCTCGTTGCTTTTCTTGTTTCTTCGATATTTCTGTTCTTAAAACCGATTTTACGGTAAGAGACGCATTCGCGGAGTTGATGGAGCACATCGAACTGGAAAATATAGACAGTTGATGTCAAATCTAAATAGGTTACATGCTTAGATTTCTTCCAGTGTTCCAATGTTTTTCATACTGATATAAGAATATTTACTACGTATGGTGTGTGTCTCTTGCGGAGCAGAGAATCAGACCATCAGATAATCGTATATGTTGAATATTCAGATTTGAATATTCTCGAAGTGTGGTCTGTCTTCCTTATGAAGCAGTGGGTAGTGAGAGTGAGTGGAGTAATAATATTGCATGTACTGAACGGTAGATATGTGATAGAGAAAGAAAGTTGGGTTGTGGTATGAGAAAGAAGAAATATTAAAATTGTAACGTTGAGATATGTCTAGAATATCTTGTTTTATGGTGTAAAAAATCTATTTGGAATAATTAAATTGACTATAGAAAAAATGATGTAATTAATGAAAATGAAGAATATAAACTGAAATAGTGGAATAGTTCTACAGCGTTCATCTCAAATTAGCTGGAAAAGCAAAAGTCAAGATCAATAAGCTAAGATAAGATCTGTAGCCTTATACACTCTAAAACAAAATGCGACTTCTAGGAAGACGCGGAAGTCGGTTCCCATTTAGCCGTATTTTAGCGACTCTTTTGAAGTCGCTTTGATGTGTCTTCTAGAAAAGACACATTAAAAGAAGTTTTCGTTCCTGTCAAGAATTGAACTCGGTCTGTTCGCTTACCAGACGAATGTGTTCATCACTGAACCATACAGACACATTAATTATTAGTCTTATTAGCCTCTTACGTTGACGTTTCATGTGAGACATTGAAAACCTAGTAGAGTCACATGGAAGGCAGGAAGATGTGACTACTAAGCGTCTTTCTGGTTCACATGTCTTCTATGCGACTTCTATATGTCTACCAGTAGACACATTGAAGACATATAGAAGACGTCTATTATTTTGAAGACGCAATGTAGTCATACAAAAGACACTTTTTCTCGGTTAACACATCGCTGAAGTCAATTTTTCCTTAGAGTGTATGTAAGTTAAAATCATCTCGAGACAAACTTTGTACCATCTCCGAGCCCTCGTTTACATACATCTAGACACGGTCAATTTTTTTGTTTTCTCTTTCACATCATCTTCTAACGTTGGAGGATTTCTTTCTCAAATAGTCGCAGTGTTCAGCATGATTTCTTATTTTGAAAAGATGCAGTAGCCGAGAGAAAGTGTATATGACAGTGAAAAAATGATATAGCTGAATACAAGGATTATGCACTGCACACTTGCCTCTGCTATCTAGATCTTGCATAAATCGTTTCATAACAGTCATCTCATATCTTTTGTGATCGAAACTGTATTTGACAATCCGTTTTCAGATATGTAATCAATGTCGTCTTTAGAGGATTTATCGAATGAACTCATCTATGATTTATTTGATTATCTTTATTATGACGATATTTACAAAGGGTTTAGAGGTTTGAATCAACGATTCGAAAATTTAACTGCAAGTACATCACGTATGCACGCTGATATTACACCGCTTAAATTTGATTCATATTATAAATATATTTTTCCAGAAATGAAACATCGACTTGCATCATTGAAATTCTCGAATTGGGATTTTTCAGATTCTAATCAATTTTGGAAACAACATCCATTAGCTGAATTTAGTAACTTATATTCATTAATTCTTAATGGTTGTTTACCATCTTTTAGGCATGCATTACCAACAGTAAAATATTTAAAGATTTATGATTGTCGTAATTTTTATACAGATTTTTATTCTATTAAACATGTATTAAAATTTTGTCCAAATTTGAAAGAATTTTCGTTCGTTTTAACCGGTGATAATGTTATTGCTACATCTTGTGAACATTTATTAGCAGCATTTACAAAGGATAACTCCATCAAATTTTTTCTGCTGTTTGAAGCAAGATAAGTTTTTTGTGTGATCCGAAAGATAATAAAACTAGTAAACGAGCTCGATGTCTCTGTGTTTGAACGATACTGTTTGCAGTTTATACCTTTAGCTGTGAGATTTAATTCATTTAATTTTGACCGTCAACCGACATTTGAGCGCCGAAATTTGAACGGGGGGACATTTGAACGACCGACATTACCGCGAACAGGACTCGACTCTTCCACGAATTTTTCGTAGTGCACATTTGGGTATTTTTGGCAGTGTGCTGTGGGAGGTGTGGGTGTGGGTAGTGTGAGAGTGAGTTTGAAAAGTAGTTCCACACGAAATATATTTTCACCATGCGAAACTGTACATGTGTAACTGGATCGTATAATGACTATTCACCACATAACTTCTTTCGGATTTCATATCGTTCTCGGAAATGTCGATCGCTCAAACGTCAGTTAATCAATTTTGGCATTAGTTTGAATGGAAATGTCTGGTAAACATTGTCTTTGCGATACGTCGTTGTTCACATTGATCTATACACAATATCAATTCCTTTTTCATTAACATCATGTTGGTGTACTGCCAGTGAACTAATCGAGTATGTAGGACCGAATTTCGTACTTCCTTTTCTATCAATATTCTCGTCATATGTGGCCGTCGTGCTTCTTGGCTTCTCACCAATTTATCTTCATCTTGGTAGTTCTCTATAATGCGCTGTGTTACGTGATACTACTTCTCGACTCTACGCAAAAATATATGCCATAAAACCGAAACTGAAATATGCTCATTTATTTCGATCTGACTGCCGTTTACAATCGTTAATTGCTAGAGGCTCTTACATCAGATTCAGCATCACGTTCTACCTCTAAAACCATAGTTTCAGCTCTCTCTCTCATGAGAACTGACTCGTCTGGAACTGCCTATCGACAATGCTAAATTTCAATCTTCAATATTAAACTATTAACAATTGATTTGTTTCATCAACATGAATTATTCATTGTGTTAAACAATATGCAGTGTATCGAATATAGCAAGTTTTCAATAACAAATGGGTCTGTGTATGATGATAGATATAACTCTACCAATAAACTGTTCAAAAAAAGTTGATGTGAAACGGATTAGTACTTATATATAAATACACGAGGTTAGAAAAAAAGAGACGAAATAAAATTCAAACCCTTCTTTAAACAAATCATCAAGTTGTAAGGAAAATAAAATGTATGAAAACATGAAATTACAGTATTAACTTCTTCGAAAATCTTCAAAAACTAGAATCCTGAAATTAATATTAGACAAATCAATGAGCAAATTTTTGAAACAAATTTTGAGAATTATCACAGCCGAGTAAAATGAGATCATTTCTTATTTTATTCACAATATTTCGACCTTAATTGGTCATTATCAAGGATAATGATAAAGTAAGAAATGATCTCATTTACTCGACTGCTATAATTCTCAAAATTAGAATCCTGAAAGTCTATAAAAGCTAGGGAAATGAAATCTGCATATGCATGTAGACGAACCGATAAAATTGATGTACGACAGGACAGAGATTTTCAGCATGTTGTTTCTTGTTGTAAACGAGCTATTGATAAATGACATAGTTGAAGTTTTCGTCGATGTAATAAAATATATTTATTACAAATCATTATGATATCCAATACGTGAAATGATCGCTGTTATGACCTTTTTATTGTTTTTATCGCGTATTGAACAATTGTTTCTGCTAATAGTGATACTGAACGATGATTTACAACATTAAAGTATGACAAATTTTAGAGAGAAATTATGAGTAACCGATATCCAGAGCAAATTTTCAATAAACTGCAATAATTATTATTATTTCTATATATCCAATAGAGTTTCTATCGTTCTGCATTACAGAATGTATGTTACTGTACTGCTTCGAAATGACGTTGAAAATGATTACTTTGTTGATATGAATTTATATTTGAATTTTATCTTGTAAATTTTCATCCATTAGTATTGTTTGAATAAAAAAAATGTCCAATATTATTTTATTATAAAAATGGGAAAAAAAACGAGCGTTAAAAATTGTTCTTTTTTTTTACAAATCTTTAAAATATTACAAGTAGATCATCTCATGTTTTTTGACAAAACTTTTATGGCATACCCCTTAAAAGGTTCTTTAACCCTTTAAATCCCCAAGGCTTCAACGCTTGGTTCTGGGTTAATCGCTTATGAAAATGGAACATATGAGACCTCGATATGACTTTTTCACGTTCGAAAAAAATTACTTTTCATTGTAAAAAGGTTAAGTTTTTAGAATTTAAATTTACAATGAAAATTTGAAGAAAATTATTTTTTCGAAAATTCTCTTTAGAAACCAAAGACCAAGCGTATCTAAGTTTAGACCATTATGTTTGGGGAAGTTGAGACAGAAAATGAGCTGGGATGGTGAAGAAAATCAAGAATGATCAAGAATACGGGGTGGACCGTTACCCCCGTTACTCTGGTAACGGTAACGCAAAATCGTTACCGTTACTGTAATGGTTAAATCTAGTTTGCTTAATATGAATTCTGACTTGAAATGTTAACTGCGAGCATGATTCTTATACTGTGAGGGCCAATTGAAATCTCCCCTACTGTTTTTTTTTGTTTTTGTTGCTAGAATTCTTTTATTTTTTTAATCCACTATATATAGCGAGAAAGCCCGAAAGATGCTGCATCTTTTGGTCTAATTAGACTGAACACCAAATACAGTTTGAGGGACAAAAAATACATAAGAAGAAAAAGTAGCCTTTTTTTCACTATGATAAGCATTTTAATTTCTTTCTTAGATAATGAATAGAAAGTTTCTGAAAGTAGTCATGAATCAATGGATTACATCTCGACAATATTTATTTTATTTGCGATCAAGGTCGTGCCACAATAAAGTGGCTATGATTCAAACATTACGAGCTGGTAAATGTGAATCAGTTAAACAAATTCTCCATATACCAACAACGTCCGCAAAATATCTGTCACCATTGGATAATCCACTGTGGCACTCAATTAAACAATTTATTCGAAATCGACATCCATTAACTGTAACTGATATACCCTTACTACTTTCAGAAGCTTTCTATTCGTTATCTAAGGAAGAAATTAAAATGCTTAACGAAAGTGTGGCTTGATATATGGAACTGACGAATATTATGATCGACCTTAGCATTGTTTTTAAAAATTCTTTCATTATAATCTAGATGTCGATGTACATTGTAGTGAAAAAAAGGCTACTTTTTCTTCTAATGTATTTTTTGTTCCTCAAACTGTATTTGATGTTCAATCTAATTAGACCAAAAGATGCAGCGTCTTTCGGGCTTTCTCGCTATATATAGTGGGTTAAAAAGTAAAAGAATCCTAGCAGCAAAAACACAAAAAAACAGTAGGGGGGATTTCAATTGACCCTCACAGTATGTAATTCGTATTTCTTTTATACTACCAAAACATACAAATCTCATTTTTCAGCATACTTTTTAAAATCGAGTTATAGGTTTTCCAAAAATCCCTGGATTTTCAGATATTTTCCATTTTCCTCGGTCAAGGAGCACTTTTATTAAAAAATAATATAATATTCGGAACCAGTATGTAAAACGGTATCGATTAATGTGAATATGAAGTATTTCTGAACAGAAAATATGTCGATCCAGTATAATGCGACATTATTAGCGAATGGACACAGCAGTTTTGACTTGGCACATAAACATGAGGTAGAAAAGTAGTACGAAAGCCTCTAAACACTCTTTTTATAGATTTTCGTATGTGCTCATTTCAACGGCATGGTTTTCAGACTTTGAAAGTGTGTCTGTACAGGTTTTCCCGAAATCTGGTCTTTAGAAAACTAGTACGAACGTACTTTAGAAGTTTAAAAACGCCATTGAAAAGAGCACGTATGAAAGTCTATAAAAAGAGCGTTTAGAAGCTGTTGTGAAAAAAAATCGCTAGTTTTTTACCACATGTCCATGTGTCAAGTCAAAATTGTCTACTGGTTTGATAGTCAAAATTGTCTACTGTGTTTGATAGTCAAATACAGTCAAACCGTTACCCGTTACAGTACAGGTAACGCTTGAATCGTTACCCTTTACTAGTAACAGTAACGCAAATTCGTTACCGTTACGGTAATGGTCCACCCCCAATTAAGAAACGGAGCCCGAAATACCAGCAAAATATGACCTTATGTTTTGTACCATCAGCAGCCTAGAGTTTCCAACAATAATTTATTCAGCTGACATAATTTGAAAGAGCACACGTTCCTACATATTTCTGAAAAGTCACTGAATAAAAGGCTTTTCCAAACAATGCTTTCTTTTTTTTTGCTTTCTTTGTTTGTTATAATGATAACGGCGATGACACTAATTTGAATCAACTCGATATCCGGATGGTAGAGCAGTAGAGAATAAGTAGAGAAAATATTGAGTAGGTGACAGCTACGAAGATCATTTTTGATTTTATTCACAAAATTCGGGAATTATTACCTAGCTTTGTTTCTGCTATAAGCTTTATTCTGTCAAACTACAAAAACTACAAAAATGATCTTCGTAGCAGTCATCTACTCGATATTTTTCTGTCATCAACTAATTCATTCTACAATATGGTTAACGATGAAAATAGAATTTCTCGAAGGGAAATCAGTGCCATTAAGTTCATCGGATGCGCCTTGACTTAAGTGTTCTAATATTATCAATATTAACCACATATGAACATCTCATAAGAGACGGAGGAAATCCAATTGCTTGTACAAATAACAATTCACTGAATAATTTACTATTTTTTATTAAAGAAAAGTGTTCTTTCACTTATGTATTTAAAAAAAAACTACTATCCATTTCAAAAAAGAAGGCCAGTCACTGTATGTCTAATAACTTTGCACTGGAAGATGCTGGAGACCTGCGGTTTTCGTTATCTGAAACTAAAATCTTGGGGCAACAAGAAAATAAGAGAAAAAGTTTTTCCGAGTACTTTCAGGTGGTGTACGTTGCGTGGACATTTTGTAAGAGTTTTCCGACCACTAAAACATTTTTGGATTTTGAATTCCTAGACGTCGAAAAGTTTGCCCAACTCATGTTCTACAAGTCTAGACTAGTTCCAGCTCGCTGTCTATCGTGGTTCA